CGGGCCTCGGTCAAGCGCAAACACGGCGAGCAGGGCGAACCGCCGTCTACAGCACACTCATTCCGAGAGGCGTTTTCGTCGCTCTGTCTCTCTCGCACCTACACGGGACGCCCCATGAGCGCGAGAGAGACAGAGCGACGAAAACGCCTCTCGGCCTACAGTGTACGTACAGTCTTACAGTGTCGACTCGCCGGCTCGGCACACAGAGCGCGCTGTGCCGGGGCTGTGCCCGCCCTGCCCGGCCGGCTCGGCTATTTGGGGAAGAATTAGGGGACTTTTCCGGGAAAGACAATGGGCCGAGTGTTTGCGCAAAAGCGCCTTGGACCGTCGACCCCCGCGACGCAGCGCCTCGACTTTGGTCGGAACATTTCTGGAGGGGAAACAGAAATCGATCCACTCGCTGCCAGACGAAGTATTGAAAGTCGAAAACCGAGTCGCCAAGACGAGTTTTTCTTTTTCTAGTGTACGGAACGGAGGAGAAGGAGGAGGTTCGTGGAGGTAGTCGAACCGACTGCAAGTTCTTCGCGACCGACACGAGCCCCACGCAGGCACACTGTAGGCAGGCACACTGTAGGCAGCACGGCCACGCCCACTCCATCAGCCCCAGTCACGTGAGGACGGACTCCTCGGTATTTAAGAAGCAGGAAAAAAAACGAAACGCGAAAAAAAAGACAACAACAACCACAACAACAGTGCGTTCGTCTTTCGGAGCAGTAGTAGTATAGTTGGTTCAGTCAAAGTTGGCGGGCCGGCGAGCCTTTGCTATGCAGGCCTATTCTTTATGACATTATGAGTGTGGCAAACGGTCCCCAAGATGGGCCGGAACCTGCCTCTTACAAAGGGATCGAACCCTTATAATGACCGGAACGGGCGCAGTTAGCACTCAAACAATGAGACCCCCTGAAAAGAGTCGGCTGTTTAAGGGGGGAGACTCGTCATTCTCCTTCAAAAAATCAGATTTTTGTTTTTGAGTTTTTTGAATTCTTTGTGTCAAACCCTTCAATTGGGTGGCTGGCTGGTTTTGAAATTCGAAACCGTTTGGCCAAAGGACGACATTTTGTAATTTATTTTCCACAGGATAGGTTAGACCGTTCAAACTTTGAAGCCATTTTACTCAATTGCAATATTTTGGGTCTTGCGCGCACGATTTAAGCCAGACCGTTGATTGTATTGACTTCATAATTTTTCCAATGTTTCACCTCCATAAGGCCGTCAGTCTGAACTAGGATATCTTCAATCGGACAAGCGGAAGTGGCCGAAAACGGTTATTGAAATGCTTAAATTTGAATGCTTTCTTTCGTACACCTTAAAATGTAAGTTTCAGGCACTTAGGAACCACCTATTTCAATTATCCTAGTTCAATCTAGAGTACCGGGAGTCCTTTTGAAGGAGCAACAAAGACATTTATGATATGATGCCGCATTCTCCAAAAATCATGCGCGCAGTGAATTTTTGTCGTATTTTCGAGGTTTGGCAGAAAGATTACAGATCCTAGGTTATGAGGCCTAGAGTCAAACTTTTTTTTCCAAAATGAACCTTAAAAAACCAGCTTTTTATTGGAAAACCCCACTGACCCTCAAATCTATTGGAAATAGTTTTCATGTAAGCCTGAAATTTGCTAAAATTATGGTGTTAAAGACGAGTCTCCCCCCTTAAGGTTTTCTTTGGTCCTAGTCCCGCCAACTTTGACTGAACCAACTATAGCTGCACTGCAAAGCCTTCCATTCCTTCCCTCTGAGGGAATTATGTGTTAAGTAGGACAGATATGTATATGAAGAGCGACGGGGGGCGCCCCGATGTACTGGAATACGATAAATAAATTTCGAGTGAGCGTGTGTGTGAGCGTAGGTATGTGTGTGTGTGTGTGCGTATGCGCCTCCTGCATTGGCAGGAAAGACGGAGAAAAAGCGGAGAAAGGCAGGCGACGCGGCGAATTACCGTGGGATGAAACCAAGCAGCACACTGCCGCATTGTCTGTCACGTGATGGTGGGCACCGAGTGTGACGAGGCAAGAGCAGGGCAGAAAGGAAGGGCTAGCTTCTTGTGACGCACCCGGAGGCACTTGCAGTGGGGAGGCGCGGACCAAAATCCCGGAAGCGTTTTGAGCTCCAGAGTCGCTAAATGGGACTCGAACCGAACGTGTGACCCCACCAATGGATTGCTCTCCGAACGAGGAATCCATTGGTGGGGTCACACGTTCGGTTCGAGCCCTTCCTCGTAAATTCACAAACGACAATACTATTTCCACAAAAATTCGGAGTGTATGTGCAGTAAAGTCCGTCCGCGCCAAGGACGCCGTAATGTACCGTCTGCCGCTGCCCACTCCACTGCAACTGCCCGTCCCGTCCGTCCACCCGTCCATCCGGGACCTAACCTTGGACAAAAATTTTTGCCTGCGTCTGCCGCGCGTTTCGAACCCACGTCGCACACAATGCTCACTCCTCCTCGCCGTGCCCGGCCGTTTCGCATGCGGGGAGTGATGTAAGAAATCCAACGCGTGCCAATGGCTCGTGGGACGCAGGGCGGGGCGGGGCGTCTTGGAGATGCGCAGTACCTCAACAAGTGGGAGTGTATGGAGAGGGGACTGGAGCCAAACAGTAGCCTCACGACGACACACACACAGACACACACACACACACACACACGACGGCATTAGCACCCAGGAGGGCCAACACATAGGCGAGTCAAATATCAATGAAGACTGGTACACACAGAGGTGCCAGTGGGTAGTGGCAGTGTATGCCCAGCGGCCATACGCAGCGCCGTGAGATGCACACCGCTAAAAGAAAAAGTCACGACTTTTAACCGAAAAAAAATTAAGATTTTATTCCATCATTTTTGCACGTCGATTTTTTAAAACTGCCTTTTTTTCTGCTGTAGGTATAGACGAAGACCTTAAGACCTTACTGAAATTCCACGAATGAATAGCCAAATTTTGAATTCATTCAATTCAATTTATTCAATTTTTTTTTTTGCTTTTATTTTTTTTCTTTGCAAAAAGACGGCGGTAAAACAAGTTTCGCCTTGACACATTCCACGACGAAACTTTGCCGAGGGAGGGGCATGTGTGCCGTGGTGCCGCGCACGTGTGTTTGTGCTTCGCCTGCTTCGCACACTCTAGGCGGACGGCGAGGACGACGAGCACGGCGGCCGGGCGGCCACGGGGGAATCGGCCTCAAGTTGAGGTAAGCCCGGCCGGGGAAGGGGGGGGGGCACAGTGGGCCAGAAGACCGCACTCTTAAAACCTTACGAAGTATTATGAGCATACATATAACAAACTAAAATACTTTGTTATACGAAGAAATAGTTCGTAAATTACGAAGTATTTACTTTGTAAGCTTATGCATGCTCAAAATACTTTGTTATACAAACTACTTTTCTTTGTAAGGCCCAAAATAGTTTGTAAGGTTTTCTCAGTGCGGTGGAGGCGGCCAAAACTCTGGGCGCGTTTTGAGCTCCAGAGTCGCGAAATGGAACTCGAACCGAACGTGTGGCCCCACCAATGGATTGCTCTCCGAACGAGGAATCCATTGGTGGGGTCGCACGTTCGGTTCTAGTCCCATTTAGCGACTCCGGAGCTCAAAACGCGCCCAGAGTTTTGACCGCACCGCCTCCGCCGGTCTTCTGGCCCACTGTGCCGGGTGCCGGCCTGGCTAGACTCTCACCCGGCCGGTCCGGCCCGCCACCCCTACGCGGACCGCCCCGGCGCCAGCGCGCTCCATGACGGAGTCCAATTCTAGGAAGCGCCTTGCAGTGGCGCGGACGGCGTGGACGGCCAGCACTCTCGGCAGGCCGCGAGGCGAGTGACTCACGCGTGCAGTCGTGGAAGCGAAAACCGGAGGCTGCACACACTCCACAGCGCCGCGGGTCCTAGACCGCCGCGGCGCCGCGAGTTGCAAATCTATCGATTCCTCGAACGGTGACTTTCGATCCTGACGCGGGCGTCGCCTCGCGGGACTGGCAGTGTGGGGGAAGGACCGCGCCGCCGTGCGTTCAAATCCCCGCCGGCGGCGCGGGGGGAAATGGTGCTGCCGTTGGGATAGGCCTGCCTTTGCCCTGCCTGCCTGCCTGCCTGCCGGCCGTCGGCGGTCGGGATAGCCAGCCTGTTGCACAATCATATAAAGTCGTTCAAAACCGGATCGCCGGATAACCGCGGCAGTCCCTGGCTGTGCGGCGCGCAGTGCGGCCCCGCTGTGCGTCTCTCTCGCACTCGCGGGGCGTCCCGTCGACCCGCGTGGGTGCGAGAGAGACAGCGGGGCCGAGCCGTGACGGGGTGACGCGGCCGGCCGGCCCACCGAGAGGCCAGGCCGCACAGTGGGCCAGAAGGCCGGTGGAGGCGGCCAAAAGTCTAGACGCGTTTTGAGCTCCAGAGTCGCTTAACGGGACTCGAACTGAACGTGTGACCCCACCAATGGATTGCTCTTTGAACGAGGAATCCATAGGTGGGGTCACACGTTCGGTTCGAGGCCTGCTTAGCGACTCTGGAGCTCTAAACGCGTCTAGAGTTTTGGCCGCCTCCACCGGTCTTCTGGTCCACTGTGGGCCGCCAGGCCAGGCAAGCCGAGAGGCCGGCCGCACCGCCGCCAAAGCGCTCCGCCGCTCCGCCGCACGAGCAGAGGATTTGAGACTGGCGCGGTCAGTACAGTACGGAAAAGAAGAAAAAAGAAAACGATAAAGAAAAACGCTCATGAAAAACGTGCCGAGAAGGAGAGAGGATGATCGGGATTTCCAGACGCCAAGAAGTGCGAATAAAAAGTGCGAGCCATCGCAAAGTGCGAAATACATACACATCTGCGACGAACAACAGTGTGAATGGGTGAGTGGGATGGTGTGTGTGTGTGTGTGTGTGTGTGTGTGTGTGTGTGTGTGTGTGTGTGTGTTCAGGGGGCTAAGGGGAGGGGAGGGGTGAATTCTACGCTAAAGTTCCCACAGTGATACCCATGCAGCAGCAACAACAACAACTGAGGCGTAAAAACGGCCGGGTAAACAACAACAACAACCTCCTCACGGTCCGGACGTGTCCCTCTTCCTCCTAGCCGCGTTGAGGCCTACATATTGGCCGTCGACGTCGGTGCACACACTGCATGTATCACAGCCACTACACCCGCGAACTTCACAGACACACACACACGGGCACAATCACTCGCGAATGGGTTGTCGGCGGCGCTAGGCGGCCCGAGGCGGCGCGGTACGGCGCGTGGTGCGCGAGGTTCCCCGCGAAGCGCGGCTGCGCGGCGGACTGGGCGAGACACTGGACAGGCTGCCATCTCGTCCCGGCCGTCCCGCCGAGGCGGTGAGGCCTCGCAACGCCGCGGCCGGCTGCCCCCTCCCCCCCCCTTCCCGCCTCCGCCGCGTCGCGTGTGCCCGCCCGTGTGCCAGCATGGCCAACATCACGGTGGAGAGGGGCAGCGAGTGACAAGCTGAGTCACCGAGGCTGGCTGGCAAAGCCTGGCGAGCCCGCCCAGCCTCCTCATTCTCTTCTTATCCTACATCGGCCAGCCTCGTCGTCGCAAGCCCCGCCAGTGCCCTGGCAGTGCCCCACCCACACCTCATCTCCATTCTTGTGCCTCTCCCTCTCCGTTTCCTGCTTTACTTACTTCCTCGCGCCGATGTCCGCGACACCCGCGTTCGGAAACACACACACACACACACACACACACACATCCTGCACTTGCCGCCATCCCACGTTCGCCGTCTCTCTCTCTCTCTCTCTCTCTCTCTCTCTCTCTCTCTCTCTCTCTCTCTCTCTCTCTCTCTCTCTCTCTCTCCAGCTTCCGCACTGTGCCACGCCAGGCCGTGCTGTGGCGGCGCGGCCGCCTTCACGGCCACGGAGCCTGAAATGTTGTTTTGTGTTTGTGATCGGCGCCGTTCGACGCTGTTCGGCCATGAAGATGGACCTGCTGCCTATTGCGCAGCGCGCGGCGCATTCCTACGTCTCCTTCCGCGCTCAAGGTTCGTGGTTCGCGTCCCCGCGTCGCGACACACAAAAAACAGAGACGCATTTTTTATTTCCTTTCTTATGTTGTTGTTTTTCCGCACTGACTGCGCTCTGCGAAAATTGTCACCGCTGCGAAATTCAATTCGGGATTGAATGCTTTCCAAGCAATGACGGTGGGCGGACACCACGCGTCCGATGTGGCACTGGGACCCCGCCCCGCCCCGCCCCGCCCCCGCCGCGGCCGCCGCGCCCCACCGTTCCGTTTTCTTCCCTGAGATTACGGTATCCGAAGCAAACAACAGACACGCTGCATTAGCGACAGTCCGCGCGCAGTCCCATTCCGAGTCGCTCCGAGGGGCGCGCCGCGCGGGTGCGAGAGAGACAGAACGCCGTCCAAGTGGGGCAGTGTGTGATAAACCGCGACACTGTAGCGTCCAGCCGCTAAGTAGCCACCCGCACATCGGGCGAGACACTCAGGGACGAGGCACCTCCCCGACGGGCCGCGAGGAGTCACACTGGAAGTCCTGGAGGCCCCGTCGAGCCCACTGGAGTCTGTAGCCGGCGCTTAGGGACGGCCCCCGTGACACCTGCACGCTGCTGGAGTCTCTGGAGGCTGCCTGGAGCGCCTGGAGCGCCTGGAGCGCCTAGAGCGGCCTGGAGCCGGGGCCGCTCGAGCAGCTTGAGCCGCTCGTGCGGGCAAGAGCCGCGCTGGAGTGCCGCGGCGCGCGCAGCGCAGCGGGCAGTAGTTCGCCCGACGGCCGCGGCTCGGCGATAGAGCGCGCCACTGCCCGGACGGACGGGCCTGGCTGACGCGTGCTCGGCTCGGCTCGGCTCGGCTCGGTTCGGCTCGGCTCGGTCGGTGGGAGTTGTGTGTAAGGCCAGCTCTGGCCTTGAGGGATAATCGTCCATTGTGTTTCGCGGAAAGGGAGATGTAATAATTTGCTATTAGGATGTCCCCGGCCAGGTCCATCCCGTGCCCCACTCGGCCCCGCCCCGCCCCGCCCCGCCCCGCCCCAATGGCGGGGGGCATTCCACATGCGGCGGGGCGGGGCGGGGCGCGGCGCGGCGCGGAACACCTCGCACCTGCACCTGTCACGGGCGTGCCGTCCGCGTGCCTCTGGCGTGCCTCTGGCGTGCCCTGCAGTCTTCTCTCTCACACTACAAGGCGACGCGAGGCGACGCCCCGTGAGTGCGAGAGACAGGGCGAACGAGTCGGCGATAGCGAAAGGGCGCAGCGTGTCGCGAGGCCGCAGGGCCGCGATAAGCAAGGGTCACTGGGGAAAAGGGCCACGGCGACGCGGAGCCGCGGAGCCCTTACAGTGTCGTCAGACTAGTGTGCACTGCCCTCGCGACAAAATGTATCCCATTTCGCACAGGGTAATCGGCACATTCGAGTTACACTAGCCTGTTTTGCATGCAATGGCTTCCCAGGGTGTGCACTTTCGTCACGCTTTTGTCACTTCACAACGGCGTCCCTCGCGAAATGTCACTCGAGTGCATGACGCTCTTCATGCCCACGTCCGCGAGGCGCGTCCGCGGCCGTCCGCGGTCCGTCCAGGCGCCGCCGTGACGCCGTGACGCCGTGGCTCGGACGGCTCGGTCCGCGACCAGCCCCACAGCCCCACACCTCGGCGGAGGCGGAGGCCCAGAATCGGAGCAGCAGTCTCATTCCCGAGCACTGCTTCTCGCTCTCTCTCGCACTCATGGGGCGAAGGGTGCGAGAGAGACAGCGACGCAAGCAGTGCGCCCGGAATCAGGCTGCTGCTGGCGGAGTGGGCTGAGAGGCCGCCAGTCGGAGGCTGTGGACTTCATGGACCTCATGGACGCAGCCGGATGCGGACCAGCGACCAGCATAGCCTGGACCCGTCGCAGCGCAGCCCCGGCCTCATGGCGTGGCCTCATGGCGTGGCCTCATGGCGTGGCCTCATGGCGTGGCCTCATGGCGTGGCCTCATGGCGTGGCCTCATGGTGCCTCATGGCGTGGCCTCATGGCGTGGCCTCATGGCGTGGCCTCATGGCGTGGCCTCATGGCGTGGCCTCATGGCGTGGCCTCATGGCGTGGCCTCATGGCGTGGCCTCATGGCGTGGCCTCATGGCGTGGCCTCATGGCGTGGCCTCATGGCGTGGCCTCATGGCGTGGCCTCATGGCGTGGCCTCATGGCGTGGCCTCATGGCGTGGCCTCATGGCGTGGCCTCATGGCGTGGCCTCATGGCGTGGCCTCATGGCGTGGCCTCATGGCGTGGCCTCATGGCGTGGCCTCATGGCCACAGTTTTATCAGTCCACTGCAGCAGCGACACTTGACATTTCCCAGAGGGAGAAGCCACGCGGAGGAAAGCAAGGTGACTGGCGCGCGTTTCAAAAACAACAACACCAACAAGTGCGATCAGCTGGGGGCGCACAGTGGCGGTGGTCTGCAGATTAAAAATAAAAACAACGGACGGGCCACGTTCGCCAGACCACGAACGCCGCGAGAGACAGAGATAGAGAGGCAGTGACTGGCGGGCCGCCGAAAACGCCCCGCGCCCCGCCGCTTGTCGCTTTGGAACAGTAGTAAAACGGCGAAACGTCGATCGTTGTGTTTCTCTGTCGCGCATCGTTTGTTTTTTGTTTTTGTTTTTCTAACGAGGCCGGCCGTGCGGACAGCACGTCGGCTCGCTGCGCCGACCGCGCACTGCACTGGAACACCTGCTGTCGCTTCTAGTGCGTTTCCATTGTTTTGGCGCTTTTTTGGCGTCCCTGTCGTAGCTCCACCACTGGCGCCGCGTGGCCGCGCCACGCCAGGCCACGCCACGCCACGCCGCGCGGGCCTCGAGACCACGACTGCCAGACCAGACCTATTTCCCACGAGCGATAATGGCGAGCGACAAAGACAGACTCGGTCGGCCGGAGTGGGCTAGCCCGGTGCTAGCCCGGTGCTAGCCCGGTGCTGGCCTCCCCGTGTGTCTGTCTCCGTCCCTGTCCGCCTCGCGTCACTCTGTCTGCTCTGTCACGCTGTCTCTGTCACTCCGCCGTCCGTCCCGTCGCCATGCATGTGCGCATAAACCATACCACACAGACCTCCAGCGGAGCCCCCCCCTCTCTCTCTCTCTCTCTCTCTCTCTCTCTCTCTCTCTCTCTCTCTCTCTCTCTCTCTCTCTCTCTCTCTCTCTCTCTCTCTCGTGTGGGGCGTGGCGCAAGGGTGCGACAGAGACAGACAGAGAGAGCGCGTCCCGGAAACGCGGCCAGGGATGCGCAAACTTAACGGGCAGCGCGACGTAAATCACAAATTGAATTCTTAACGTTACTTTTGCTCGACGCCGTGCCTGTGTGTGTGTGCGCGCGCGCGCGCGCGCGTGTCTCTCTGTCTGTGTGAGTGAGTGAGTGTTGGCGCCGTTTACGAAATGCGGACCCATAAAAAAGCAGCGTGGCGTAAGTTACACGGACTCCACTATACGTCGGCCGCCCCGACCGGTCCGCGCGCCATCCGCCATCCGACCGCCATCCGACCGCCCTCCGACGACAGTCGATCAAGCGTCATCAGCCGCCCATTCATTTCGGACGTCGCTCGACAGTCAAGCCGAAGGGGCCGAAGGGAGGCGGAGTGGAGCGACACCGGGATTCTTCGCCAGGGTGTGTGCCACACTGTACTTACAGCGAGTCGTCAACCCTCCACTCCCCTCCCCTCCCGTCCTCCGCTCCGCCGTCGTCGCCAGCCCGGCAGTGCCCGGCAGCCAGGACGCCGTGGCGGCAGGCCTCCCTGCGACACTTGCCTGCCTTGCGGGCCGGCCCACCCCGCCGTCGGCGGGCGCCCTGCGCTCTGCACACCGCGCCTGCACAGTGGACCAGAGGACCGGCGGAGGCGGCCAAAACTCTAGACGCGTTTTGAGCTCCAGAGTCGCTAAGCAGGCCTCGAACCAAACGTGTGACCCCACCAATGGATTCCTCGTTCAAAGAGCAATCCATTGGTGGGGTCACACGTTCAGTTCAAGTCCCATTTGGCGACTCTGGAGCTCAAAACGCGTCTAGAGTTTTGGCCGCCTCCACCGGTCTTCTGGCCCACTGTGGCCTGGTTACCTCGTCACCTCGTCACTCTGAGCCGTGCTTTCGTCGCCCCGCGCGTGAGGGTGCGAGAGAGACAGAGCGACGGCGACGACGAAAGCGACTGTAGGGAGTCGGACAGCAACAGCAGCCGCAGCAGCAGCGCCGCGTGGAGCGTGTCGTGCATGACAACGACCAGCACGTCGAGTCCCTCCAGTGTAGTGGCCCTCCAGTGGCCCTCCAAGACCCCTCCAGTGTCCCTCCAGGGT